ACGCATTAGGAGCCTGGGTTGGGAAACGGTTGGAGAGGAGAAGGACTGAAGGCAACCAGCAGCCCCGGGATGAATGCAGACCGCAGCCCTAGAGATGCGGTGTGTTGACTCTGCTGGGACGCGTGTCCAGGACAGGCAGCGCCACGGAGCAGAGCACGACCCGCAGCCATCGAGCAGACGTGCTGAACAACGCTGACGTGGGAGAGGAGCAGAGGAGAGCAGCCGAGGGAATGCAGAGAGGAGATGGGAGCAGCACGGGGTGGCAGCGCGTGGAGCAGGCGATAAGACTGCTCGGGGTGGTTTATCAGCACGCGACAGCAGAGCAGCAGGAGATCTGCTCCAACTGATGGACGGGCTTTGTGGGCAGAGGACATCGGTACCGAATGGCTGAATGTGGGGGGGGGGGGGGAGGCTGGAACGACTTCTGAAGCAGAGGCAGGGGATGCCCAGCCCCTTTGGCAGACGGCTGGGGGCAGGGAGCGGGCATGCTGCCCGTGTTGGCTGTTGGGGCGGGTTGGTGCGTCCTGGTGGAGGCAGTGGGGTGGGTGGGCTCTACGTCCCGTGCCTGGGGGCACGCTCAGGGGGTCTACGGCTCCCACGGCAGGGAATGCCATCGCAGTGGGGAAAGCTGCCCGTGCTATGGGCGTGCTGCTGCTTCCTGCTGGTGGCTGTGGCTTGGCCTGACCCAGGGGCACAGCAATGGTGTGCTGGGGGCTTCAGCTCCCCAACCCAATCTTCTCCCATCAAACAGAGAACCTCTACAGTGCTCCACTGTGGTGTGATGCTCCTGAAGGGACTGGGCAGCAGCTCCTTTCCACCCGACCCTTTCCTTCACCTATTGCCCCTGTGCCTCCAAAGAGCGTTCGGATGCTATTCAGATGCATTCCGTTATGCAACTAGCTCATAACTATGCAAATGTATGCAGATCTCTCCTTACACAACGTCCTGTTTTCATTCAGCTTCTTTTTTGGAAATCCAGCACTTCCTATGGGAGCGCAGTTGGAGCCCAGAGAAGCCATCTGGAGCCTCCTGGCTCGCCGAATGGGCTGGGGCGGGGAATGGCACCGGCTCCTTTCGGAGCTCCTGCCACCATCCTCTGACAGCCAGCACCGTACCTGTCCCATGGCCCTGCCAGAACCCGTGGCACAGACTGGTGCCATTAGCAGGAGGATCTGTGAGGTCCATCCAGCCCCAGTGCCAGCCGAGGGCACTGTGTGTGCAGTGAGCTGCATGAGAGCACAGCAGCAGAATGCAGCAGGTCTGCTCTCCAGCTCAAGTTGTGGCTCCTGGCACATAGCTCTGCCTTGTAGCTCTGCAGGAATCCTCGGTGGCTTTTCCTCCGTGGCTTGGTCCGACAGCTTTTTGAACCAATACAAACTTCTGGCTTTCATCCTGCTGCAGGGAGCCCTCAGCTCCACTGCCCAAAAAATACTTCTGCCAACCCAATGGCTTCTGCCTTACCCCTGGTCCTTGTGTCGAACACGCGACCCCAACGCCACTGCATCCTCCCTCTCTTGGTTGCCTCTTCCAGACTGTGTCCTCCACCTCCTGGTTGCCTCTTCCAGCATGTGGAGCACGCTCTGTCCTTCCCTGTGCTTCGTCATTCTTGTACTTGTCTGATCTCTCATGACGTGGGACAATAAGATGTGACAATGAACCCCTCAGGAGGTGCTGTTCTGTTCTCTGCTCCCTTCCTGATAATTCACAGCAGCTCTGTTTTCCCTCTGGAGCAGCGTGGCTCAACTTGAAGCACCCACGCTGCTGCACATCTCTATTCGTTGGTCTGTTCGTTAGCGAGCTCCCGCTTGTGCAGGGGCTCTCCTGGTGCTCAGACTGAGGTGCTGTAACTCTTAGGTATCTCTACCAGCACCTCTCTGTGCCTCCCCAGCATGGATGGGTGCCCATGGGCCGTGTCCCAGGGCTGCAGGCTGCGTGTGGCACGCAGGGCTTGCACTGCCGACCCCAGGTGGCGCATGAAGGTGTGTGGGATGGGGCCGTTCAGCCAGTCAGCCCCGGGGATTGCCTGTGGGCCACCCAGCACCTTCACACGGCTGCAGAGCTCTGGAACAGGGCACTGAGTGACACAGAGCTCTCACCATGTCTGTGTGCATGTGACATTGAGTGTCACCCTGCTGCTGCCCCCAGTGGCACAGTGGGTTCGGCTGGGCCTCGGTGGGGCCAATCCTTCAGCTGGGCCTCAGTGGGGCCAATCCCTCCTCTGGGCCTCAGGTAGGGCCAGTCCCTCCTCTGGGCCTCAGTGGGGCCAATCCATCCTCTAGGCCTCAGTGGGGCCAATCTCTCAGCTGGGCCTCAGTGGGGCCAATCCATCCTCTAGGCCTCAGTGGGGCCAATCTCTCAGCTGGGCCTCAGTGGGACCAATCCATCCTCTAGGCCTCAGTGGGGCCAATCTCTCAGCTGGGCCTCAGTGGGACCAATCCTTTCTCTGGGCCTCAGAGGGGCCAATCTCTCAGCTGGGCCTCAGTGGGACCAATCCCTCCTCTGGGCCTCAGAGGGGCCAATCCCTCCTTTAGGCCTCAGTGGCCTCTGTTGGGCCTTGGTGGGGCCAATCCCTCAATTGGGACATGCAGTGCGTTCCGCTTTGCCTCTCTGTGCTCCCTGCAGGTGCCAGCCGTGTCATAGGCACTGTGCCTGCCGGATGGCTGAACCTGCCAGCTGGACTTGCTGGCAGCTCCTGCAATTCCTGGTGTCGGTGCAGGCTTCACCAAGGATGCTCTGAGCAGGGAACCATGGGGACCCACCGGGTGGCAGTGAGACCCCATGGGCCAAGGCCTGGGTGCCCCAGTCAGGGCTGGGACACTGGAGGCTGCAGGGACCCACGCTGCAGGAACCGTCATCCGTGGGAATGACTTTGGGATGAGGGCAGCCCATCCTGGGGCCTGCATGGGTTCGGCTGCTGAGCGCTGCAGGCCCAGCCTGTGTCTGCTGTCGCTGGGAGGAGCAGCACGCCCTGGGGTGAGGCTGATGGCAGCCATGCCCGGAACAGCCTGGCTTTGCAGAGGGGCTGACACAGCCCGAGTTGGGAGGACACGGAGAGCAGCTCTGGCCCAGCACGGAGCATTGGGCAGCTGCAGGTCTGAGGTTCTGGCTCCAGCCCAGCCAGCTGAGGCCTGGCTGTGTGGGGCTGAGTGCCGGCTGGGTCCCTGCTGTGGGGCTGGCAGAGGCCTAGGATGAGTGTCTGGTGGAGGGCCTGGTCCTGCTGAGGGTCCCACTGAGGGGCTGACGGAGGGGCTGACCTCACCCTGACCCAGTTGGGGGGCTGGGTGAGGGGCTGGATGAGGGGCTGGGTGAGGCCCCTGCTGAGGGCTTACCCTGCTGAGGCCTCATTGAGGCCCCCACTGTGGTCCTGGCTGTGGCCTGGCTGCGGCCCTGCTGAGGATTGGCCCCAATGAGACCCAGTTGAAAGAATTGGCCCCACTGAGGCCCAGAGGAGGAATTGGCCCCACTGAGGCCTAAAGGAGGGATTAGCCCCACTGAGGCCCAGCTGAAGGACTGGCCCCACTGAGGCTCAGAGGAGGGTTTGGCCCCACTGAAGCCCAGAGAAAGAATTGGCCCCACTGAAGCCCAGAGGAGAGATTGGCCCCACTGAGGTTCAGAGGAGGGATTGGCCCCACTGAGGCCCAGAGGAGGGACTGGCCCCACTGAGGCCCAGCTGAGGGATTGGCTCCACTGAAGCCCAGAGGAAGGACTGGCCCCACTGAGGCCTAGAGGAGGGATGGGCTCTACTGAGGCCCAGAGGAGGAATTGGCCCCACTGAGGCCCAGCTGAGAGATTGGCCCTACTGAGGACCAGAGGAGGGATTGGCCCCACCGAGGCCCAGCTGAACCCACTGTGCCATTGGGGGCAGCAGCAGGGTGACACTCAATGTCACATGCACACAGACATGGTGAGAGCTCTGTGTCACTCAGTGCCCTGCTACAGAGACGTGGACACACAGCCACAGACACCTGTGATGGTGAAAGGCACGCGCACAGCCTGCATGTGGTGCAGGTGCCCATGCTCTGGGGTCTGTGTGGCACACACACACACACACACACGGCTGCTGGTTGCAGCGCTGGGCAGTGTGGGGTGCTCCCACATGTGTGCTTCCCCTCCCCGATGCCCTGGCACTTGTAGCCCTGCCCGGCGGCATCCTCAGGCTCAGGGGAGACCTCCCCGTTCTCTACACCTCCGTGAGAGGAGGTCTGAGTCAGGTGGGGATTGGCCTTTGCTCTCAGTGAACAGCGATAGGATGAGAAGGCGACGGCCTCACGTTGCTTCAGGTGAGGTTCAGGTTGGGTGTTAAGGAACATTTCTTCTCTGAAAGAGTGGTGATGCACCAGCACAGGCTGCCCAGGGAAGTGGAGGAGTTACCATCCCTTGGAGATGTGGCACTGAGGGAGGTGGTCGGTGGGCTTGGTGGGATGGGTCGGGGTTGGACGTGGGGATCTTGGAGATATTTTCCAATGTTAATGGTTCTATGATTCTAAGAAAGAAGGGGATAGGATCTTTAGCAAGGTGTGTTGTGACAGGACAAGAGCCACGTGTGCTACCTAAACCGCTCTCCCCTCAGCCAGACCTCAGCTATCCTGGACAGAGGTGGTCTGTCCCTCTGCACTATTCTATGGCTCATAGTTGTGCTGCCCACAGCTCCTGCTTCGGGGTCTCTGCCCGCTCCCACTAGTGGTAATCTCTGACCCATCTGCTGTGGGTGCCAGACGCACATTTCCCTGTCTTTTGTCAGTGCTGTATGGCTCCACAGGCACAAGCCTCCCCACGCCCTCCCCAGAACCCCCCAGCAATGCTTCACTGGGAAAAAAAATCTCAGGGAAGCAGCAGTTGTGACAGGAAGGAATTTAACCAGGCAGCAGCATCATTCCACCGCTTCGACACCACTGCTTCCTGCCCCATAATTGTGCTAGGTGGAGAGCCAGCGCTCCCCAGCCCCCAGGTGGTGTTTTCCCCATGAGGCAGAGCTCGCTCTTCCTCTGGGGCGGGTGGTGCTAGAGGCCCTGGTGCTGCCTCTTCTTTCCCTGTGTGCCTGTGACAACGGTGGTGGTGATGGTGATCTTGTTCACAGTCAGCCCTCCCGTGCCGTAAATGTCGAGGCACGCTTCTCGTTTGTACTCGGAGACCTGCTTGGTGGAGAGGAGCTCCCACACCGACACCCTCTGCTCCTGGAACTGCCCAAAGGTAATGTAAGAGCCTTCCGACTGGAGGAGATCCACTGTCTGCTGGGGAAGGGCAGCGAGATGTCTTTCTTTGCTGTGTGTCACGGTGCTGCTGATAGCTCTGACAAGTTGCTCAGTGGTGAGAGTCCCATCACGGTACAGCTCCAGGAGCTCCTGCCTTTTGTCCTCAGGGATGGAGTCGGAGGACA